AGCAAGGAGTTAGTACAAAATTAATAATATATACGAGTTTCTTCCACCGAGCAAGGAGTACGACAACATAACCTTCAAGAAAAGAGTATATTCAAAATTCATAATATATATATACGAAGTATTGAGCATGAGTTAGTACAAAATATTAATATGTCCGTAGTATTGAGCAAGGAGATAGTACAAAATAATAATATGTACGAAGTATTGAGCATGGAATTAGTACAAAATAATAATATATACGAAGTGTTGAGCAAGGAGTTAGTACAAAATTATAATATATACGAAGTATTGAGCATGAGTTAGTACAAAATATTAATATGTCCGTAGTATTGAGCAAGGAGATAGTACAAAATAATAATATGTACGAAGTATTGAGCATGGAATTAGTACAAAATAATAATATATACGAAGTGTTGAGCAAGGAGTTAGTACAAAATTATAATATATAGCTTACTTAACGCTATTAGCTCCTCTACCATTTTAAAGCTTCACGGTCTAGAAGTATGGAAAGTTCCGACTCACGTATAACTTATACACGGTCGTACAATGTTCGCAGTTCACATATTGTTTTAAATACGATGCCTCTGTGTTTATAAGTAAACTTTATTATAACTTAACAAAAGTACATTATACTTATGATACCTACTGTTTACTGTTGATATTAGGAATATAAATCTCGACAGTTTGACAGATTTCACCTTTCGAAATTGCAGGTTTTTTTTTTAATGGGCGGTAATGAAATGGTATTTCCACCTGCGCTATCGGTATACGCTGGCGGGGCACTAATAAAAGATGATAAGTGAAGATGAAATAGGTCGATTGGCCCATAGTGGCGAATTCATAAAGAATTCAATGGTATTTATTAATTTATGTATTTTCAATATTTCATTTAAAAAGATACAATCCAATTAATATTATAAATGTGAAAGTTTTGATGTTTGTTACCCAATCTTACACTACACTTAGACGAACAAATTTTATTAATATTCAAATTTCTTATTAACATTTTATGTACTTTATAAACTAATTCACATAAAGACAACGTCGCGAAATAAAGCTAGTGCTAAATATATATTAAAATCACAATTTCAAACTTGAAATCCTGCAATATTAAGCTTGATTTAATGCTAAAATGGCTTTAAGGCAATAAATCTATATTCAGATCAAGAAAAAGATTTACTATGTGGCATAAACAAAAGGCGTCCATTAGTGCCCGCGCTGGGATAATAAACCGGTAAAGATTAATGTTCCTGTTAGCTATTGTTTCATAGATCAGAATGATATAGGACTAGATACGGGATTTTAAACAGGTATCAGTAACATATACAACACAACCACTCTACGGTATCAACTTCCAGCAGCAGTATTTCCGAACTGATACGACATCATAACCTTCAAGAAAAGAGCATATTCCTTTTTAAAAGGCCGGCAGCATACCTGCAATGCCTTTGGTATTGTGGGTGATCATGGGCGGTGGTAGTCACTTACCATCAGGTCAGCCGCGTAATCATTTGCCCCCTGTGTTGTAAAAAAATATACGGACTTTATAAATACTCGTACCAAAGGGGGTAAACAAGTATGCAGATAACCTGATGGTAAGTGACTACCGCCGCCCATGACTACCCGCAATACCGGAGAATATAATAATGAACAGTTATAATAGTGATTTACTAGATACTGTAATTTTTTTTAATGAGTGATAATGGAATGGTAACCCCACCCGCGCTATCGGTATACACCGGCGGGGCACCAGTGAAGCATGATAGGTGAGGATGAAGCAAGTCAGTTAGGCTATCGTGACGAATTGAACAAGAATTGTTCACGATGGTTTCCAGGGGAAATCACTTGGAGGTCGACCTAATAAGGCATATTGCTAGCAATGGGGCTGTCAAACTCCATTGCTAACATTCCCTTTCCCCCTGCGGTAATGGGTTCCTATAATGTGATGGCATATAAATTGTCGGGACACGAGATCGCATGCGAACAATTAAAGAACAATTTGCTACGAACAGACACAGCTATTATGCATGATTTCAACATCAATTAGTTGGAATATCCAGGTATATTGTCGGAAGCACGGGTTTAATCTGTGTTAAGGTGTTATCAATTAGTCACAGTCTACGACGCGCTATTAATCTGTTAAATCATTAATAATTTCAGTATTAAAAAGTGATCAACACGTTTTCAAGTAATTTTATATTTATAATTCATGAAAATTGCTAAGCTCCAGTTGGAGTCAATCAAAGTGCAAGTCCACTGCTTAACATAGTTGGTGAACACCGGTGCCTCGCCAGCGTATACCGATAGTTCAGGCGGGGTTACCGTTCCATTATCATTCATTAAAAAAAATCCCTTGGGTGTTGTAAGAGGCGACTAAGGGAGGACGACGGATAGGCAGCAGCGTCACTTAAAATATCTCTTAAGCCTAACTGCAGTTGCCAATCTATCTATCAAGCATGGCAACTACTGACAAAACCCCCCCAGGGGATAGGCTCGTGTATTTTTTTATTGGATGAAAATGGAATGGTAACCCCACCTGCGCTAACAAGATACACTGGCGGGGCACCAATGAAGGGTGATCGATGAGGATGAAAACAGGCCAGTTAGCTCATCATGATGAATTCATTAGGAATTAATTAATCATGATAGTTTCCAGGGGGAACCGCGAGAAGGTCGACCTGGTTGGGTATATTACTAGGGTAGGCTTGTGTTTAGCAGTGAACATTTAAAGGATGATGACGATTACATCTGCTGACAGTCCACACACGTCCAGATGCAGTTTAGTTAAACAAATCAAACCTACCTCTTGCCAATATAAACTATTGTAGATAATGTAGTACACAAGTTAACTAAGAGAGCTATAAAGCTAGTTAACAGTTAATTGCGACTGACCCAGAGTACAGTAATTAAACTAAGTGATTTATCGACCAATTAGTCAGAGACCCCAGTTAATACTAACTTTGCTTGGCATATTTCTATTTTAACTGCTTTTACCGGCAGATGAGTTATTTTAACAATTTTACATTGTACCTATCTACTACCTAACTATTCACTGTCTAAAATTACTAGTTTAATATTTATTTATTTAAATATTTCACAAGAAATTCCGGTTAATTTATGAATTACTCTGCGTATTCTACCGCCTCTACAACGGATTGTGCTCAGATATTTTGAGCAACATCTTTTTTACAACGTGACCGAATACCTAAATGCCGATATTAAATTATGACATATTATTATTTATTTACGTTTAATTGTAAGAAGTGTGACAATTCATATTTTATATATTACTTGAAGTCATCATTATTGGTATATAGTTACCATTATATTGACATGTGGTAACTGATTTATAATGTTAATTGTAATTAATTTATAATGATATTTTTATTTTATAATTCAAACGTTATTATTCTTGTTATTATTTATTTTATTTCAAAATTATAATGTAAATATTGACTTGCCATTGTGCGACGAAAACTGAAACATTAGTTAATAAAGAAATATAATAATATAATATTATGTCATCAATTAATTCGTTGATCGTTTTTGAGACGCTTTTATCAATAGATATTCCATCTATATGTGTAATCTAGGTTAGTACCTACAGAATGAAAGAGCAGTGATATACAGAGCTGAAACTTTAACTACAAGGAATGATACCCTAAAGGATAGACAAGAACAAGAGGTCTAAGTGTACGACTTAAGTTCTATTCTTATTTACTTAAACAAACCTTTTTCTATTTCATGAAATGGAATTATATGGGGAGCGCCTTTATATTTTACCCAACTTTATTCGACTTTGCCCTAATTCGACTCTCAAATAAAGCTTTCAATTTTTCCCCTGACATAATCATCATCATTTCAGCCGTGAAATGCTGCTAAATAACGTTTCGGGGGGAAAGGGATTGTTAGTAATGAGTTTCGACAGCCCCATTGCTGGCAATATATCCTATCAGGTCGACCTCCACGCGGTTCCACATAGAAATCATCGCGGTTAATTCTTCACGATGAACCGACTTTCCTGCCTTCATTGTAATCTATCATCCATCACTGATGCCCTGCAAGCGTATACCGATAGCGTAGGCATAGTTATCATTCTATTTAGACCCATAAAAAATATATCAATCCCCATAAGAAGCGATCCTAAATTTCCTGTACCTACCAACTCCCTGCAGAACATTTAAGTTGGTTTCTCCATCTGATGAGTCGTCATGCACTACGATTGTCTCTAAAAGGTCGATTAACAAAGAGAACTTTTAAAGCTATACAAAAAGCTGAAATTTTTCAGGATATATCGGAAAAAACCGTATCAATGTTAACTCTTCCTGCATGCATGGTGGAAATCACTTTGCATATATCATTTAGGTATCTACAGTTACTTAACCATAGATAATGATAAATTCAACGACAAATGAAGCCATTAAGAAGCTATAAAATTATGAGAAGTAAACGTTGTGGAAAATCCACAGAAACCGCCATATGGTTGAGTCGAGTATTGACACAACTAATGCCTTGTTTGTTCTAGAACTATCTTAATAGAAGTTAGCCACCAGCTTTTATCTAAATTAATATTATTATAATAAAGTCTTAAGTGTATTTTTTTTACAACTACCACCGTTTTTTGTAAAAATAAACACATTTTTGCTCTCATTTTACCTTACTAATATAATAAAATGATGTATGTGAATGGGAGTTATTTAAGAAAACTTAATATGAAAGATCTTAATAAAAGCAATAGACGCCAGAACAGTAATACTTAAATTATTTGTCTATTTTTCTATCTGTTTGCTACGGCATCACGTGATAACTACTGTACCAAATTAAATGTGGTTATCACAGGTGTATTCTAGAAAGTATAACTTAAAATCTGGTCTATATTTTATTTTAATATAGTAACTAATATTTACTTACTTTTAACCACGCATACGAAATTGCAGGTAAAAGCTAATTATAAAAAAAACTATTTTTGGTCACAATGACTTAATATCGAAAATAACAAATGTTTATAAAAAAAATATATTTATTGCTAAAAATATCAATTTCATAAGTTAGCGTGGATCCAGTTCAAGAATGCTGTGACTCTTGTATAAACTGACGGGTATCCTGATTCACAGAGATTTCCTAGACCAAATGATACTATGCCAATCTGAAAAAAAAAATTCGCTATTATTATTCAGTCTATTAAGATCATAGATAAGATAACGATTAAAATTTTTAAACCTAATAGGTTTCCAAATTCAAAAATGAGATTATAATATTTTTTCTTTAAGTCAACATAGATAATAAATATATATTCTTTATCTATGAAACAAACGCTTGTGATAAAATACATTACTCTGCTATAATTATGTGTATCTGTGTCTGAAGGCGTCACTCACACACCCTTGTGACATGAAGATATGTAGTCGCAGTACACAGTCATTTAATTGCCATAACTCACCTATGAAACCAGAACACAGGATGCAAACAGGCTGTTTGGCGGGAAAATTATTAACTGAGATAGGGTTATACACGCATAACATTCAAATTATATTGAAACTATTAACATTATTGTAAAAAAGTAAATAAAAACATTTTTCGCATCGAAGTGTGGGATTTAAGAACGACAAAATATTCTGAAACATACGTTAATATGATGCATTCAATTATAAACTTATAAAGAATTTCTTGAGACATGATAGCTGGAACCGCCATTTTAATGTGGGAAATATTAAAATGGCGGTTCCAGATATCACGTCAATACAGGAAGCTATGAATATATTTTCGTTTCTAAAATAGTTTTTATTCGTGAATAGTTTCCTAACTCTTCCTTAAATGCATACATAATATTGATATTATATATATTTCTAAATCTAAAACTAGAATCATTTATGCATATAAAAACACCTACGAAGATGACAGTTGTGTGACTATCTTAAAATACATATACGAGAACTTGAAACACCACAACATACATTGTGCCAGACTGTGTCTTTTTTTTATGCAACTTAGAATGGCAAACAAGCTGACCCACCTGATGGAAAGTGCTAGCCGTCGCCTATAGACATGAGCAGTACCATGGACATAACAGAGTATACTGTTTCGCCCATGATACCCCCCATGCGTTGCCATTCCTGAGGACTTAGACATTATTTCTCTGTACCCTGTAAATACACTGCCATATCCCACCCTTCAAACCGAAACACAGCCATGCAAACACAACTGCTTCACAGTAGAAACAAAAATAGGACAAAGGTGCCCAAGCAAATAACTTTTTTAAAGTTTCCACCATATTTTGCCTCCGTACCCTGTAATGTCTATGCCATACCCCATCCTTCAAATCACAACACAGCCAACTACTTTTCGACATAGAAGGACAGAGTGAGACAGAGATATAGAGGTCACACAATCTGACGGTTTTTGTACAAACTCTCTTAAAACAATTTTGAGTAAAAAACCATGTGACGAATGTGTTTGGATTGGATAGTTCGTGAAAAACTTTGTCAGATCTTATCATTGTTTCTATCACAAATGCCAAACCCTATTTCTAGCATTTGATTATAAATCTGCCCAAATCTATTTATTCATTTAAATTTTAATGCACTCTGAAACTACATACATATGTCGGACTTAACACCAGACGGTGTTCTCAACCAATCAACCATTGGACAAACTGAGAAATAAGTAGGCGGTGCTTTAAAATCCTGTCTATTTAAAAAAAAAATCCTAATTCTCTCACCAAAGTCCTCCGATTGTTATAGACAGCAGTCAACGGCCCACCAGAGTCTCCATCACAGGAGCCTACTCCGCGGTCCCCAGCGGTGCATAAGTGACTGCCGTGAAGAGTTATCTGGAAGCTGTTCTGGCAGACCTGGTTGGTTATCACTGTAACTGGTACTTGATAAAGAGCGGTGGTGGTTGGGAAACTGGTTTGTGCTGAAAATGAATATCAAATAACATAAAAAATTTATTGCACACCAAAAATATACAATTCTAATCTTTCCAATTTTGTTTAAATATAAAAAATGATTAGAAGACTGTCATCATTGTGTTCTCTTTTATTTGATATTTATATGTTGTATTTAACATGTGTATATATATGTATGTATGTGTATATGTATATATATATATATATATGTGTGTGTGTGTGTGTATGTGTGTGTGTGTGTGTGTGTGTGTGTGTGTGTGTGTGTTTGCATGTATTAATGTTGTATGTATGTATTAATATTGTATCTTTCAAAAATATATATATATATATTATGGGCTACAATAACTATAAAATTAAATATGCATTTTTGAAAATTTTGCATTATTGCAATAAACAATACAATGTCTAAAGTAGGCCGTGGCTGTCGGATATGCAATGTGGATAATATATTCACTAAGTCACCTATGTCTGTAAGAGATTACGGTAGTTTATTATTATATTAATTTAAAAAAAAAATTCAATATTTCTCATCGTTTTATATTGATCTTTTTTGAATGAATGAGTAAGTATACTTTACTTGCATTATACAATATAGGAAATAAGCAAGACAATTTACAAACACAACGATACAATTGTACTCGTATAAGTACAGTAAGGCGGTATTATTGCTGAGAGCAAACTTTTCAAGACAACCTTTATCTTAGATAATGAACTAATTGTCGTACAAGTAGGTATGATAGTATTTTTTATTAAGTAAATTAAACTTTTAACTGTAAAATTTAAATAAATCTTTATTTTCCTTCGTTTTATCACTGTTAACAAACGGACAGTAACTCGAAAAGGAGATAAAAGCTCGCCTTGTTTGCTTTCCCAAATTTAGAGCGTGATTCACCCTTACAGTGTCAGTCATTTTTTAAATTGAGGACAGCCTATTTAAAAAAAAAATAAACTAGAATATACAGAAATACAACTTTGAAATGCAAGTCAAGTCCAATAAAATGGAAAATAAAAACTATTTCCCTGAATATTTAAGCCTTGGCTAAGTATTTTACTATTGGTCGTCATTACGACGTCAGTCAGTATATATATAAGAATAAATTACTAAATGTACATATTATGTTTTGCTAAGTGAAAAACCCGAGAATGGCTAAGCCAAATCGGTGATTTTTTCAAACATTCATTGGAGTCCGAGAAAGTTTGTTAAGAAATTTTTTTTTAAATTGCACAAAAAAATATTGAACCCACATTTTTTACAAAATAATTCCTACCTACCAATTTATATATTTTAATCAAATAATGCGTATCAATATTTACTAGTAGGTACCGCATTCCAGTACTCTGCACTTCCCTAACGTTAACCAGGAAAGAATGCTCTTAGCATTAAGTTCGCCTTGTACACATACTAATGAATAAATAAATAAATACACTTTTCAACAAAATGATGTCTGTCAAGTTAGCTAGTTTATTTATATGTATTTTTACCCCAATAAATATGTCCCCAACCTAGGTTTTTCGGAGTTGGCAACACTAATTCCCACCAAGTGCTCTCCATTTATTATTACCCAACTTGTTAAGTCTGAGGGTGTCCGTAAAGCCGGCCGCAATCTGGCGACAAAACAATTATACTACTACTGAAGACTGATAGCGTGAAATTATGGTGTCATTATGAACAATTCATTAGAAACGACCTCAAAAATTGTGATTTTATATTAAGCATAGACACAATTTTGTTAGAAGTTTTTCTTTTTATACAGACAACCAGTTAAGTATACAGTTTTTGGCTTTCATTAGTGTATTTATTATTATTTAACCCTTAAAAGCCTGATTTTTCAAATCAAATTAAAAAATATATAAGTGTACCCTTTAATGTGTTTACTAATGGGAAAAAATAGTAAAAAAATCGAAACGATATTTTTATATATTTATTTACAAAAAAAAAAAACATTTGGTAACATGTAAACAGCCAAATATTAAAATAAAACGGATTGTAGGCACCCAATGCGATTTATAACCCTGGTATCAAATTTGAAACTTCAGGTATTTAAGGGTTAACACAATTAATTTGATTCAAAATAAATCGCCCCCCATAGGGGGCTGAACTTATGTTCAGCAGTGGACAGTTAAAAGCTGATATGATGATGATGATGAATTTGATCATATAAGACGTTGAATGGGCTCGTAATATGCACTAAAACATATAAAAAAATATTTTAAAAAAATAATATAAAAAAAGAATGCAATAAAAAAAATGCAATCGCCCATATAATAGTAAGCCTAAACCAGCCATTGTCACAGCGGCGCCCAAGGGCATATAAGTACATACCGTCACTAGTCTTTCCGTATCCGGATACGATGGCTGAATATCCGGAAAACGATTGGTTCACATCCGACAGAGCTGGCAAGGGTATCGCTTGTATATTATCTGTGGATAACATGATAAAATTTATATAAATTAATATTATAAGTAAATATAGATATGCATAAAAAAAATTAATAGACAATTGAATTATCTATTTTCATTGCTTGCCGTGTCGTGCCGTGTCGGTCCCGGCATAGAATGGGCTATCCATCCTTTCCCGTGGTTATCGTAAGAGCCGACTAAGGGAAAGTGAGGGATGGGCAACAGCGTCCCTCTTAAAACACCTCTAAAGCCTGATTGCGGTTGCTAACCCGCCTGTCAAACGTGGCAACTACTGGTAAAACCCCCCTTATGGGGGAGGCCTATGTTCAGCAGTGGACAGGTAGCGTTTGATATAAAAATAATAATATAGTTTGCGAAAACTTTATCGTATTGGATATGGAATGAAAATAGATTAGTAACTCCTCTTGCACTATCAGTATATGCTTCTGGAGTATCAGTGAATGATGATGAATGGTGATAAAGATTTTTTTTATGCTACTTAGAATGGCAAACAAGCTGACGGCCCACCTGAGGGAAAGTGATAACCGTCGCTTGTAGACATGAGCAGTATATGGACATGTTTTTATCTATCTATCTATCAATCCCACTCCTACTAACATTATAAATGTAAATATTTGTATGTTTGTTACTCAATCACGGTTGAACTGATTTGAATAAAATTTAGTACACACACAAGTATATATATATATATATATATATATATATATATATATATATATATATATATATATATATATATATATATATATATGTATAATATGCCCTACATGTACATACTCAGCACAGCAACTAATGAAAAATGTAGTGAAAAACACAAATGATATATTGGAAGTAACAAATTCTACTTAAATAAAAGATTCTTTTATATTTATTTTTCATCGAAACAAATTAAATGCATCACTTTAAAACGAATGAACCGAACATGTTTTTCAATATTCGTAAAAATCCGATTAAAGTATTAAAAGAAACAAAAAGAAAGTCGTTTAAACATCTAGTAGAAAACATTTTAAGCCCAACATAATATCTGACTAAATACAGTAATAACCAGAGGGTGATTTTGTACAAAAGTCCTTTGCTTGGGTACCTCTGTCCCATTCGTGTTTCAACCGTATAGCTGTGTTTTGGTTTGAAGGATGGGATATGGCGTGAATTTACAGGGTGCAGAGGAATAACACCCGAGTCCTCAGGAATGGCAACACATGGGTGGTATCATGGGCGAAACAGTATACTTTATTATGTCCATAATACTGCTCATGTCAATAGGCGACGGTTATCACTTTCCATCAGGTGGGCCGTCAGCTTGTTTGGCATTCTAAGTAGCATAAAAAAAATCTTTATCACCATTCATCATCAATCACTAGTACTCCAGAAGCATATACTGATAGTGCAAGAGGAGTTACTAATCTATTTTCATCCCATATCCAGTACGATAAAGTTTTCGCAAACTGGGTTCGCAAATTATATTATACTATTATTATACTACCTGTCCACTGCTGACCATAGGCCTCCCCCATAAGGGGGGTTTTACCAGTAGCCAGGCTTGGTAGATATATCGATAACCGTAGTCAGACTGATGATGATCTAAGAGGGGCGCTACTGCTCATCCCTCAACAAATTCAGATCCTTTCATCGCCTTTTACGACACCTACGGAAAAGGAAGGAGGGTGGGCTCCTCCTTCCTTTTATGCATTCCTTCTATGCCGAGACGAAAAGGCAAATTTTATAATAGTGCATGAATGAATATATTAAGAGTTGCGAGTTTAGAATCTTCAACCAGAAGACATGTTCACCAATGTAATTCCGAAACATACATATACTAGGGGGAAGAGATTGTTAGTAATGGGGAAGTAAGACCTCTATTGCTATCAATTCATCCTATCAAATCGACTTCCCTCGATTCCTCCTGGAAATTATCGTGTTTCATTTATCGTTGAATTAATCACGATGGGCTAACTGGCCTGCTTTTCATCCTCACCAATCATTCCTCACTGGTGTCCCGCCAGTGTATACCGATAGCGCAGGCGGGGTTACCATTTCATTATCATCCATTAAAAAAAAACATACATATACTCACTTGTATAACTGACTGGAGTAATCTTCACTATTGCCATGTCATTCGTTATCTCATTCGTATTCCAGTTGGGATGGACTGTGACATCAGATGTTTCTATCCTTGTCCCACCAGAGAAGATAGTAAGGGAGCCGAGAACGATAATGAACCGTCTCGCTTGACTCTGTCCATCCCACCAGCAGTGAGCTGCAGTCAGTACCCTCGTGTTGGAGACCAGGGAGCCACCGCATATGGACTGCCAGCCTGTTGTCAAGGTAGCTACTATACCTGCCTGTGGATAAGAGCAAAAACAATAAATGTCATTTGATTTTGATTAAGTGAAGTAAAAATAAAATATCCTAGCATTCGTTTTCATCCTCAGAATGTGGTAATATGGAACTAGGAGTGATAAACATAATACAGCATAAGGAGGCCAACTCATGTCAATAAATGCATAAGGAGACCAACTCTTGTCACGAGAAATTATATGTATTTGAAAGATGCATTTATAAATTTGATGAACTTCGTCGTGTGGTCCCGGCATGAAATAAGCCACCCTTTACTTTCCCATGAGTGTCATAAGAGGCGACTAAGGGAACTTAACGGTAAAGAGATGGGCAGCAGTGTACCTCTTTAAATATCTCTAAAAGCCTTACTGCCGATGCCAATCCGTCTGCTAAGCGTGGCAACTACTGGCAAAACTCCCCTTATTGGGAAGGCTTATGTTCAGCAGTGGACAGTCAACGGCTGAAATGATGACGAAAGTTGGGACCTTAAATTATATATATTAGATCACTACACTGTTTGGTTTTCAAACTGGGATTCCCTCTGTCCTGATAAAGACTGGACAACTATCCCAGAAGGCTTTTTTAATGGGTGAAAATGGAATGATAGCCTCCTTATATGCTACCATTACAGACAGGATAACCGTTCCTTTTTCATCCTGTTAAAAAAGAACAAAACACCACTTGCCCTATCTTATTCTATCTCAATCGTACAATAGCGATAACATATTTATAGATAGACAGATACGTTTGCCAGTTATCTAGAGGATTCCCAAAATGCAAGATAGCTTCAGTCATGAACATTTTGTTTGCCAAATTATCCTGTAATTTCATGATTTTAATTTGTACAATATAATAACGGATCTTTGTTTTGTTATGATTATTCATAAAGAAAAACCGCGGTTTACAACCAGCTATCCGCTTTTATATGAAAGGGTAATGTTTCATCTGAAGATTCGGTAATAAATCCAGTGCTAAACTTGAAGAAATTTCACTTGTTCCACCAAGAGATGCTATAACATCATTATTATTTCCAAAAACATTATAACAACTTCAATCGTTACCTTACACAATTTTGTGTTTATTACACAATGTTTTAATTACATAAAATGTGTTTAGACTCATTATAATACTGGTGAAACAAAATGGCACAAGTTATAGGAGACGATTCCTAGTATTTTTTTTTATACAACTTAGAATGGCAAACAAGCTGACGGCTCACCTGATGGAAAGTGGTAACCGTCGCCTATAGACATAAGCAGTACCATGGACATAACAGAGTATACTGTGTCGCCCATGATACCCCCCATGCGTTGCCATTCCTGAGGACTCAGGTGTTATTCCTCTGTAGCCTGTAAATTCACGCCATATCCCACCCTTCAAACCGAAACATAGCCATGCAAACACAACTGCTTCACGATTGAAACACGAATAGGACAGAGGTACCCAAGCAATCGACTTTTATACAAAGTCTCCCTCTGGTATTATTTTTTTTTGGTTTTTTTTTATTTAATTATCATACATAAATAATATTTTTGGTTTTCTTTTTATTTAAATATCATACATAAATACATTTAAAAAAATTGGATGATTTGATTATCTTACTAATATTTATAATAAAATTGTTTGTTGTGGTTTGTAAGAGCTATTTCATACGAAGCTAAATTGGCTATTACCTTTTCCTTTCTGTGATATTTAAACACTGTGTTCAAAGGTCAATTGGCTAAGCTGTACCTGCTTTTAGAGTTCGCTAATTTCATCTTTTGTGTGTAATTGTGTAGGCAGTATATTTTTTTAATATAATAAAATTATAACTAAACGATGTCTATATACGGAAGATATTAAGGAAATATAAAGAGTCTCTTTAAGACCACCAGAGGGAGACTTTGTACAAAAGTCGTTTGCTTAGATACCTCTGTCCTATTCGTGTTTCTACCGTGAAGCAGTTGTGTTTGCATGACTATGTTTCGGTTCGAAGGGTGGGATATGACGTGGTACAGAGGAATAACACCTGATTCTTCAGGAATGGCAACGCATGGGGAGTATCATGGGCGAAACAGTATACTCTGTTATGTCCATGGTACTGCTCATGTCTATAGGCGACGGTTATCACTTTCTATCAGGTGGGCCGTCAGCTTGTTTGCCATAATACTGGTGTTATTACTTCCCTACTCAGTAAAACGCTAATATCTTACTGCTTGTACCACACCTCACTCTATAATGTCTATCTCTGATATCTTACTCGAGAGCGCACCATCTCTTTCTTTCTTTCGTACATTGTTGACTATCTCGCTCAGTCTAAACAAAAATATTGCATCGTATTGTAAAATGTTAATTGTACATAATTTATAGAACACATTAAAAAGATTTAATATACTATGGTGGAATTATCCCATAAAAGTATCTCGTACATTTAACATTTGAGAAGCTGAAAGAAAACTATAGAACGTTCGAGAGTAAAAACTGTAAGTACAGCTAAATATAAATCTTAATAATACTTAATTAAAATTAAACACATATTGCGAAAGAGGTTTGTTTGAATCGAAGCATTTGGCGTTCCATTGTTTCTGCCTACCCTAATGGGAGACAATACGTGACAGATATGTATGTATGTATGTATATTATTAAAAATAAAAAGTAGAGATTCAATTTCATTTCTATATATACCTATAGATATTGTAATTTCAAAACTTACTTGGAACGGAAATAGGGTTTGTATCGTTACTTGTTCTCCACCAACAATCCTCAACGACTCCGATTTCCTCAGCAAATTCGCCCTCGGCACTCCCACGTTCAAATGATATCCCCTAGCTGTCAAATCTTCACAAATACTATTACCAAATAAAAATACACAAATCAAAATGGCATCCCGAAATGCTGCCATTTTTAAACACTTCCCACGAAATGATAGCGAATAAATATAGGTAAGCCACTTAGTAATATTAATTCAATTATAATCATTAGTCTCGATTGACACTGATTGCATATACTCGCATATCGATTTATACTTTGCGGTAAAATATAAAAGATTGTTATTCGAATAGCTATCTGATAAGATATGGTCTTTTTAATACATCGCGGATGATTCATATACTTATATCTCAAGCTACTCGATTATTTGTTATTTTTATTGTATTGCGATATCTTATTTATAGAGTCGTTATCACTTAAGTTTTTTAATAACTACAGTCATAAAGGTACTTGTAACATATTCAATAATCGGATTAAATGCAACATTCCATGAATCGATTGATCGATTCTGATAAAACGCAGTTACCATATTGACTTAAAACCGATTTCCTTTTGAATTCGGTTCAAAATCAACAGATTAAACGATAATAATTATCTCATAATTTACTTTTATGTTTAAAAATGGAAAATTGTTTTTTTTTCAGCATTAGTCAACACTGAAAAAAATAATAGCCTACTATTTATAGTGCCGTTACTTTTGACATATTTATTAATTAAATTAGGTTCACATAAAACTGTTGATAATTGTACACAGAAGTACTCATGTTCTGATATATCATATTTTCTTAGTATTAAATTAATAAATACCAGAAAATACATATATATATATATATATATATATATATATATATATATATATATATATATATATATATATATATATATATATATATATATATATATATATATATATATATATCCTATTGAGGTAACCAGAAATAATCAATTTCCAAATGCTCCGCACCAAAGAGATTTCTTTCGCTTCCTCCATATTCATTAATCTATTCATACACGCTCGCCGGTTATGAGTACTTTTAATTTGGCCCTTCTTTAGCACGTTCCTAATTCGAAATCGAATTCTTAATTCAAAAGGTCGAAATACATCTAGGGTGGCCCATACGAACATCTCCATTTATTCATGCTTGATAAATCTTTTTCATAATTCTTCTTTCATCCATGCTCTCCAAATGGCTAAACCAATCCAATATTTTCACAAAGTTTTGATTAGCAATAATTGGGCTACCACCGCTTCAGTTTATTTCACTAGATTGAAACTATGTTATGACATTCTTAATATCATATTTAATACTTACACATAGACACACATACTCACGCACACATGCACACGCACACACGCACACGGTCACACGCACACGCACACATGCACACGCACACACGCACACGCCCATACAAACACCTACACATATCCAAACTCACATAAAATGTCATATATTTACAATAAATGAACCCTGTTCGCCGCACCAAAACGGTGACTCGTGGAAGTCAAGCTTCTAGCTTTGACTTCCACGAGGCAGGTTTTGTCTAGTGTCAGGTCATAGTTATATTGTACCATAGGCTAATTTTGTTTAAGGAAATAAAGTTTATTATTATTATTATTATAATTTTTTGTCGATTCCCACAATTATTTTGTAAAATAAAATATAGAAATAATCTTTACTCAGACTTGTTTACAAAGTCTTTTAAATCGTAATTTTTTTATAATGGTGTCGCTGGGTTCGGGATGTAGTTATTTGCTGAGAAGAACTTATAAGAAATTCAACAGTTACTCTTTTTAAATTATTATGTATAAGATTATATATTTTCCTTCTTCTTCTTTCATCATTTGCTGGCACTACGCCAGTGTATACTGATGACGCAACATTTTGCTTTTATATTTTTCCCATACATTAAAAAAAGTACCCATAGCATTCTCTTTCTACGGCTTCTTCTTGGTGTCTAAGGTTTCGGTTTCATTAAAAGCGAAAAACTTTTTAAATTGAATGCAAAATTAATAATGAGTTTTATTATGTATTGCATAGATACGTACCGTATCCTAAAAACTGTAACTCTCCAGAAGCAAAAATCATTACAAAGAAAGGCATATGCATGAGGAGTATCATGGTTGAAACGGTTCAAACCGAAACCACCCTTCAAACCGAAACACAGGCATGCAAACAACTGCTTCATGGTAGAAACACGAATGGAACAGAGGTACCCAAGCAAACGACTTTTGTACAAAGTCTCCCTCTGGTAAATGTTTCCGGTTAGCTATTCCTAAGTTTGATCGTTTATTTAGTTATCGAACAAAACGTGTTTTGTAATTCGGAACCTCCTTTTGTATGCGTAAATTAAATAGAAACTTTTCCCATATCTCATCATTATCTCTAGCAAACAGACAACATTCCTAACTAGGATAACCATTCACAAAAGCGTTTAATTAACTTCGTCATACCTTTGACACGACTGGATCCACTGCGTTAGTACTGGATAAAAGATCTTAGATCTACAGCTGGTAATGAATGTAGCATTCGCTTTAGAGATGCGAAAATTATATATATATTTTCTTACAACACCTGTGTTGTAAAAATCCTGTTCTAAAAATTTGCCCCCTGGGGCAAACGAGCATGCGGCTCACCTGATAATAAGTGACTACCGCCGCCCATGGTCACCCGCAACACCAACGGCATTGCAGGTATACTGCCGGCCTTTTAAAAGGGAATATGCTCTTTTCTTGAAGGTTATGTTGTCGTATCGATTCGTAAATACTGCTGCTGGAAGTTGATTCCAAAGAGTGGTTGTGCGTGGGAGAGAGTGCCTTGAAAAACGCACGGTGGAGCACCGCCACTCGTCCAGATGGTTGACATGAAATTTGAGTTTATGGCGGGTAGTACGATGGTGAAAATCAGCAGTAGGTATCAATCCGAACAATTCTTCAGAGCACTCCCCATGATAAATTCGGTAGAAGATGCACAGAGATGCAACATCTCTATGCAGTGTCAGTGGGTCAAGTCGGACAGTAAGGCGCCGATCGTCAACAATTCGAGTTGCCCGACTTTGAATACTACGGGAAAGCATTGAATATGGAAAGATCAATCAATCCATTGCTTAAGGCATAAAATCTTGACATATTCTTAAGTAATATGGGTGTTTTTTTATTTAATATGGACATTATCATATCAGCCGTTAACTGTCCACTGCTGAACATAGGCCTGTCCCATAAAGGGATTTTGCAACTACTGGCTTGGCAATCGCAGTTTTTTGATGATGTTTTAGAAGGGACGCTACTATCCATCCCTCGACCATTGTGTTCTCTTAGTCGCCTTTTACGACACCCACGGGAAAGGAAGGACTGGCTCATTCTATGCCGGAAACATACAACAGGTCACATAACATGTTCGATGAAAATTGACTTTATGGACATGGCACTATGAGCTGTTTTTTTTTAATAGGTGAAAATGAAATACTAACCCTGCCTACGCTATTGGTATATGTTGGTGGGTGATGAAAAGTGAGGTTGAAAGCTGGTCAGTTAGCCCATGATGACAAATTAGAGAATAAATCCAAAGGGAACCGCGTGGAGGTCAACCTGGTATATTTCTAAAAATGGGGTTGTTGGATACCATAACTAATAATCCCTTTTCCCTTTACTATAAACTGTCATTATGGGTAGTTCTCATTTTATTGCTAAACTTCGGTATTTAACAGTTCCCAACGTTATTTATGACGGAAAAATAATCCCATATTCCACTACTGTTAAAAATTTGGGAATTGTTATAGACCAGACACTGTCATGGGGTCCTCATATAGGTGAAGTAAGTCGAAAAATCCACGTATCACTACATTCCTTAAAGCGCCTGCAGAACTTCCTCCCTTTAGGAACTAGACTTTTACTGGCTCAATCTCTTCTTCTTCCTCTTCTAGACTATGCTGATGTTGCCTACCTAGATCCCACACAGGAGCTTGTTGATAAACTTGAGCGACTGCAAAATCAATGTATTAGATACATCTATAACCTTCGAAAGTATGACCACATATCTAGTTATCGCAGTCAACTCAAATGGCTTCCTATCAGGCTACGGAGAAATGTCCACATTCTTACTCTTCTTTTCAATATCCTTTTTAATCCAACATGTCCACATTACCTTCAGGAAAGATTCAAATTTCGCGAAATTGATGTTCGCCTGAGATGCAGTAATGACTTCATTATAGATTTGCCTTGTTTTAATACTCAAAGCTATGCCATGTCATTTACTGTACATGCTGCACGTCTCTGGAATTCACTTCCTAATAACTTAAAGATGGCACAGTCGCTGAAATCTTTTAAAGCAGGTATCATAAAATTTTATTTTGAAAATCCCTCTTCATTGAGCCAATTGTGAATATATGTATTTATTATGTATACATGTATGTGTATGTAGGAGTGTATATATGTATGTGTATGTATGTATATATATGTATATATATATATGTATATGTATATGTATGTGTGTATATGTGTATATATGTATGTGTATGTGTATAAGTTTTTATTTATTAATGTTATATTATTATTAATTTACTTTTATTATTTACATATGTAGGTATATAGAGCTGTTTTTATTGTGTTATATATTCAATTTTTTTTTTACTGGGTATTATTTAGTTTATCTTTAATTGTACGGTTATTACCCTTATACATTCTACAGTTTTCTTTCAGCTTCTCAAAGGTTGACTGTAAGAGATCCCTTTATGGGATAAGTCCGCCATTGTATACTAAATCATTTACTAGTATTTAATCTGACTTATGTACAATAAAGATTTTTACAATACAATACAATACTGTTAGTGTATAATAATACCATATACTTCAATAAGAAAGTTCTTGTACTCGTTTATAACCCCCCCCCCCTTCTCCCCCTATGTTAGAGGCGTATTTGCAGAGGACAGTTTAATGGCTGATATAATGACGATAATTATGTTATCTGAACATGGTCTTGACAACATAAATCGTGTAAGAGAGGTTTTTTTTTTTTATATAGAATACTAATGACAAACGTCTGACAGCCCGTTTGCTTGAAAACGATAACTGTCGCCTATAAACATGAACAGCACCAAACACAAAACAAAATATACTTTAATAGCCATGAAACCTTTCGTTGGTTTCAAAATTAAATTAAATTAAATTACCAAACCCTCTGGCTAAATTGCCATGCCCTTGTATGGCATCATAAGAAATTTACAAGATCTTAATACGCTATACAATTATTATTTATATAAAATTTGTTTTATGCAATAAAAATATTAAAATATATAATTAATTATACGAAACGAAAATTATTTGGCTTCTTATTTATTAATAACAAATATTAT